AGCTATTAAAAGAAATCACAAATAGTATACAAAAAGATTCCCAAGATGACATTTGCATGAAAAATAATAATTATTCTGAGAATTGGCTAGGCATGACATGCAATGTGCAAATGATATAAGGAAAGTCAACAAAATATTCCATTATGTAAAAATTTGTGTGCTTGTCAAACCCCGTGATGATGTTTGTTTTGTATTCCCCAAAGCGTATCAGTAAGGTGCGTGAGGTCCGACTAGTGTAGAGCATGTCACGTGGGCAAATAAGGCAGTAAATCACATATTGTGATCCACAATTGATAAACTACTGGATAGAATAAGTTTAGCCATTATTGTCCCTAACCTCCTTCCTAAGCCACATGAATTGGCAAGCTCCACATTTGGGGAGGCCACACCTATAGCTACCCCTTTGGTCGAAAAAACAACTCCAACTTTAACTGGCCATGGTTTTTAGTTGGCAAACCCTACTAGGATCTACGTAGCTCCTCAGATCCTTCGATTTCTGGAAAATGTTCGGGCGCTTGGGAATGGCACTCGATAGAAGGAGGTCTTGATGAAGAATGCCCCAATACTTATCTATGATCTGCTTGATGGCAAAGAATTTATGGTTATACCAAGTGATAAAAGTAATATGATTCCATTGACCTGTAGTCTTGAGTCTATCTTGGACTGGTGCCTCATTATTCTTAGGTCTCAAACCATTCATTTCGGGCCTCATCAATTATCGGATTGGCATACATCTTACAATACTTAATGAATGCCGCATTGATGAGAGACAGGTCATATCCCTTTTCTTGGAATTTCTTCCTCAGTATGGTACTTTGCTCATCGTAGTTTTGTACACGAGTGCACGTCCTATTGAGCCGACAGAACTGTCCAAAAGGCACATTTCCAATCCACCTTGGGTGGTGGTGACTGAGAGCATGTAAATAAGAGTGTGCTGACAATGGTTTGAAATGTGTCTGTAAAATATGGAAGTCTGCATCAACCATCAGCTCCAGATCCATGACTGCATGTATGAATTAAGTGGCATATGGATTATTCTGACAGTCAGGGCCATCCCAAATAATCAGGATGTCATCTATGTAGTGGGCATATAGGACCAGGTTTGCCCCAAAAGGATTATTGGTTCAGATGTAAAATTGCTCCCAAAAACCCATAAACAAATTGGCGAAACTCCGGGCGAACCTGGCCCCATAACAGTGCCCCTTATCTGCCTGTAATAATCATCCTGGAAAATAAAATGATTATGTGTTAAAGTAAATTAAATGCCACTTATACTGTACACGTATTTGTTAGGTTATGCAAACTTGTATATCTTCACTGTAACTGAGCAACACTCACTGAAGAAATGTGCTTTTGTTTCAAAAATGAATATAAGCTTTTTAGCATTAACACAATATAATTGCCTCTGTGGCAAAGAAAGCTCAGCTACCACTGTGATAGAAGGGTATACTACTCTGCTGCACAGAGGCACGCTTTTATGGTTCTTTTATTGCTGCAAAGTCTGTGCCACATGTATACAGTACATTCACAAATTAAAGTATTTCTAAAACCCGCAACAGTAAAATCAGTCTGTATATGCAGTAAAGCATGCTTGTTATACTCACTGTGGAACATCCTCTGCATTGTGTAAAAAGCTGTTTGATCCTGACTTCTCTGACCCTACCCTTTTTTTACTGTCCCCAATCCATATGCTGATAGTACAGAGCTCTAGGAGTCACTCCACACATGCTCAGTTTGGTGTGTATTGCTAGAGAGTTTTTTTTAATTTGGGAGGCTGCATGTGATCAGCACAGAGCCAATCAGAACTGTCTAGACAGAGGGTCAGGGGTTATGCAGCAGAATGAAAACTCTTCCTACACGTTTTAACTAGTGCTCAACTGGACACTGATAAAAGTCACAAGACTGTTATATACTGTTGATGAAAAAAGATATTTAGCAGTTTATATTTTCTGCAATAATTGCATTTCCATCTAGAGTGTACTGTGGGAGACCAGATATAGTGAATGCTGGGTCCTGGGTTTAGTAACACTTTAAGGCCTGTATTTGGCCAGACCTTTCCAACAGAGTGGATTTTAAAGCATAACCTAAGAGTAAACATATTTGTCTATTGCAGCAGTCCTTGAATAAGCAGGCTGCGCTAATTTTTTTCACACTTTTTTCCTTTATTTTCAACCTGTGATCCTGCCAGGGAAACACTTTTCATCCTAAGGTCAGGGGCGTATCTGCAGCGAGGCAAACAAGGCGTTTGCCTAGGGCAGCAGTTTACAGGGGGCGGCACGCCCCCCAGGCAGAAGGGACACTGTGTGTGTCAGCGGCAAGTCCGCCATGGGTGAGGGTACAGCCAATCCAAGCCGACACACAAGGAGGGACCAGCTGCAGAGGAGAGCAGAGTGGTGGGTGGATCCCTGGTGTGCGTTCCGCATGCGTGAGGGCCGTGGCCCACTGTCAGTGTGCGCCGGGATGTGTAGGATGGCCAGAAGGTGCCAGCGGAGGTGGAAGAAGAAGAGGACGAGGTCAGGGTGGAGGAGCCCCTGCTCTTTTGCAGCCGCTGCCGGAGATCCTGGGGGAGATGGGACACAGGCACCCCTCCTGGAGTGATCTTGACACCATCTGACATCGCTCACTAACTGTACTGTATCTACAGAGGAGCAGCCTTGTCGCCCTAGCACAGGAAGTATTTTATCACTATAAACCCCTTCCGCTTCTTATCTCCATAACACGGGGTGTTGTCTGGTCCACAAAAGAAAGCTGAGAAGGCTGATAAACATTAAGATTTCAGTTCAGTTCACATGAGGATGCTGTATATCTTGCAGGAGTTCAACAGATATTTTTTGTACTTGTAGAAAATGTATTTAGCCTAAAAACTAATGCTGTTACCACATCTAAGGACTGGTAAGCTGCAATATATTATTTTTCTTGGGTTTAGAGAGACTTTAACAAGGGGAAAATACTTAATTTATGATGCAATAAGGTTTTCCTTGTTTTGTTCTCTGTAAGCTGTACAGCAGAGAGCTGTGTGACTTGATAGAAGGAATGGGCAAAAATAGATTTCTTCAAGATTTAAATGTACTTACTGCATATTAACACTTCTCAATGAAAGGATATGTAAATATGACATTTGGTGCTTTCAAGCACATCCTGCTTTTTCATTGGTTTGTAGTTCTCAAAGTCAAATAGAAATATTAGGTTTGATGTTTTCTAAATTAATTCCATACAAAAACACACTGCCACCATCTAGTGCTCAATTTATAATATACAACACTGCAGTCATTTCTGAAACATTGTTGCATGTATAAAGAACAATATCAGGGGCGGACTGACCATTCAAGCACTCGGGCACTGCTCGAGGGCCCGGGGTCAGTAGGGGGCCCCATGAAATGCCCCTGGTACCTTTTATAGGCTTTTTTTGAGTGTGGGCAAGGACATAGGGGCCCCATGATCCCCTATTGCCCAGGGCCCCATGAGTTGTCAGTCCGCCCCTGAACAATACATTTACTGAACCATTCACCCTAACTGTCTGAAAAGTGTAATCTGTTTGTCACCTTTTAACAACAGCTCTTGGTTCTGCACACTATTTATTGATCAGGGCAATTTTTACTTTCCCACTGTGGGCCTGTTTATTTGATGATAACTTTGCCAATACTTAAAATAACCTGTTTTTTTTTTTGGCAGCCAGTCTTTCATTGGCTGTTTTTTTTTAAAAAAAAAACATTTTATATTCTATGGAATCCATACACAAAGACAAAAAATATGAATAAATAGTTATTTCTGTTTTGAAAGCTATGCCTGAGTACTGATTAGACTTACGGAGGCCATACATGATTCATTTTATTTTCCTTCAGCCAGCGGGTTGAATGGACAAAAAAAACTAACCAATATCCCCATCCACACATTCAATGTGGAAGGGGGAATACTTTCACTGTGTCTTGCATTCTGCCAGCGGAGAGCCTTCTCCACTGACAAAATACAATAATCAGTGCTGCTGAATATAGCCGGCAACACTAATCATTCTGGAAAAACACTGATGAACCGGCCATATTTCAATCAATGTACTCTTGTTAAGCACTTTCCTTTTTAATTCTGTTTATTTTTCAGTTGCTATTAACTAGTTTTGTGATATAATTTTTCATTTCTATATTTTCTTGAACAGTTTTTCTTATTTTTTTTCTTCTTCTTAAACAATATTTAAAAATCGTTAAAGCTGATGTTTAGGTATGGCAATTGTTTTTTTACATAGTTACATTATTTCAGCTTGGACTAATGTAAGTACCGTATTTTTCGCTCCATAAGACACACTTTTTTCCCCACCAAAAAGGGGGGAAAATGTCAGTGCGTCTTATGGAGCGAATATGGAGTGGTATTTCCACCGCCGCCGTGATAGAATACCGGGCCGGCCGCTCAGCTCTGCAGCGGGACCTTACTTGTTCCTCTATCCAGCGGCGCGCTGTCTTCCCGGCTTCTGTAGTGTGGGCGCTCGGCTTGAGAGCCGGGTGCCAAGTGCGCATGCATGCACAAGAAGCGGTGCGCTTTGTGAATGGTAAGGCAGCACCTGGAACACATGACAGGTCCCAGAAGCAGCCGGACCAATCACAAAGCGCAGCGCTTCTTGCTCATGTGCACTGGGCACCCGGCTGTCAAGCCGAGCGCCCAAACTACAGAAGCCGGGAAGACAGCGCACCGCTGGATAGAGGAACAGGTAAGGTCCTGCTACAGAGCGGACACTAACCAAAGAACAACTCCTCGGAAGTAAGAGCGGGTACCTGTCAAATTCAGGTACCCGCTCCCCCCCCTCCCCAAAGGTCAGCAGTCATCTCCTGTACTGTCCACAGTCTCTGGTCATCCCTGTACTGTCCGCAGTCTCTGGTCATCCCTGTACTGTCTGCAGTCTCTGGTCATCTCCTGTACTGTGTCCGCAGTCTCTGGTCATCCCCTGTACTGTGTCTGCAGTCTCTGGTCATCCCCTGTACTGTGTACGCAGTCTCTGGTCATCCCCTGTACTGTGTCCGCAGTCTCTGGTCATCTCCTGTACTGTCTGCAGTCTCTGGTCATCTCCTGTACTGTGTCCTCAGTCTCTGGTCATCTCCTGTACTATGTCCGCAGTCTCTGGTCATCTCCTGTACTGTGTCCGCAGTCTCTGGTCATCTCCTGTACTATGTCCGCAGTCTCTGGTCATCTCCTGTACTGTGTCCGCAGTCTCTGGTCATCTCCTGTACTGTCTGCAGTCTCTGGTCATCTCCTATACTGTGTCCGCAGTCTCCGGTCATCTCCTGTACTGTGTCCGCAGTCTCTGGTCATCTCCTGTACTGTGTCCGCAGTCTCTGGTCATCTCCTGTACTGTGTCCACAGTCTCTAGTCATCTCCTGTACTATGTCCGCAGTTTCTGGTCATCTCCTGTACTATGTCCGCAGTCTCTGGTCATCTCCTGTACTATGTCTGCAGTCCATTGGTTCAGAATATTTTTTTTCCTGTTTTCTGCCTCTAAAACCTAGGTGCATCTTATGGTCAGGTGCGTCTTATGGAGCGGAAAATACGGTACATATGTGGTATACCTGTGGGATCCCTGTAGAAGCTTTTTTACAGACACTGATTTGCATGACATATGGCAGATAGCATGTTTCTATGGATGGTTTAAGTGCATGAAATTGAACTTCAGTGCTTTTTGTGTGCATTTTTAAAAAGAGTCGTGTGTGAGTTTGGAACAATGTGTTCCAAATTCACACAGCATAGAGTACAGTGACATTCTAAGATGAGTGTTCAGATATGCATGCAGATGCATTTTTGAATCGAAGATGGCAAGAGGCTTTTTTTGAACAAATGATAAGAGAGCAGAGACAGAGAGACCCCAATGCAGATCCAAAAACGGAGCACTTGCTAAATCGCATCAAAAACTCATAGGCATTCAAACAATGCACATGTGATTCACAGGGAAGAATCACACTACTAAAACTGAGTGATTTTGGAATGTGTGAACCAGAGCGGAAATCTTTATAGTAGGCACTGCTACATCAGTGATCTCCACTAACGTCCGGGTCCCATGCTGAGTGGCCTCCGTTTTGTATTGTGAACACAAGATGTTGCTCGCTCGACACAGGCACCAATCAGGAAACAATTTGTATTTTCTCAATTAATGTAATGCATTCTCTGTTTGGATAAGATGGAGAGGTGCGGCACTGATATCACAATCTCCAGCTCATTCAATTTAGAGAACACTATGCATTCATTGAGAAAATGCAAAGTGTTCTCCAAATGGCGCCTGTGCCAAGCAGCAGGGCAGCCGCTCTTCACAGAACCCATGGTGCTAATGGCAATTACTGTAGTAATTGTGCCTATTCCAATGATTTCCAGCTTCCACAAATATGGCATATACATACCTACATTGGTCCAAGCTGGGCCAATTTACCTGTACAAATTGCCATACCTAGACATCAGCTTTATCTGTATGTAGCACTACCCCCTTAGGAGTCGCTGAAGTTTGGGTCCCCCTATGGTCCTGCACAGCCAGGCAACACGCATTTCCTTGCACCACCAGACAATAACCAGTCCTTTAGCTTTGTTTTTAAGGTTTATTAAAGGAATTAGAACTTGGATGGGGTGAGAGGTATATGGGATGCCCAAGGACAATGGCAACAGAGGACAAACTCTTTAGCAACTATGTACAAATCTTTACAGCAAAAATTCTTCTGGAGAGCTAGTCAGCATCTCCCACAGTACAACCCCAGACCCCAGAATAATTATCTTCTCATCCAGCTGTACTGGGTAAATCCCTGGGGATCCAGTGCTGCCACCACAGTGTGAACAGTCCCTGGTAAAAAGCTAATCCAGTTTCCCACCAGAGTGCCTCTTTCCCCTTGCTGGCCCAGGGGGTGCAGCACTACTCACTTAGTCCTTCTACTGTGTTGCCTGTGGGTCGGTGGCTGCTACTAGGCCTTCTAGCTGGGCTGCTCCTTCCCTGCCACACAGGTGGTGCTTTCTCAGTGGGCCAGTGAATTTCCAAGCTTTCCTCCTTCCAAGGTCTCTCTGCCTGGAGGTGAACCCCTTTCCCATCTTGGCCCCAGTAATAATCATTCTCAGTCTGCAGGCAGTTAGACTGTTTACCCATAAACTGGAAAATCTCTGTGCATGGTGAGGCTGAAATAGTGCAGCCCTTTTGTGATTGACCAGGCTGGCTAGTTAAAGTGTATGTAAACCCAAGAAGAAAAATACTGTATCATACTAGGTCCTTAGATGCTGTGGTTGCATTGGTTTCCTTTTTTCAGGCTTTTACCACAATAATTTTACCTTGTGATCCTGACAGTAACACACCTCTTATCTAGGGTGACATCATTCACTTAATGTATCACATTTGTGGAGTAACAGATTTGTCACCCTAGGACCAAAAGTGTGTTAGACTACAGAACACCTCCACCTCTCCTCCTCTGCATATTATACTGGGAGGTGTTCTGTAGTCTGCCACTTTGAACTGAGACGGTCACTGCTTGAGATAACATTGCAGAATGTAAAAGTATTTTGTACTCATTGAATAGATATATAAGAAAACTTTTTCAATTATATATTTAACAGACCAAAAGGGAGCAAATAAGAGAAGTTCAGTGTTAGAGTCCACATTCACTTTTTACGGTTACTTAAAGTCTCTCCAGTAGGGGGAACCTTTTATATCCAATTTATAACAGATACAGAAGAATAAATTATATGTAACATGTCCAAAACCACTCTAATTGCATTATTATTTCAATTTGATTACAGAAAGAAAGCAGCTGTACAATGGCAAATTTATGCAGATACTGAGCTTAGCAATCCACCTGATGTACTGTACAGGAGCTCAGAGTCTCTGTTTTGTGTATAGTTACTAACATTTGAAAATATGAGGTATCAAAAAAATATGCAGTGCACAGTGTGGCCATTGAAGTGGATGTTGCATTATGGTGTATAGCTTGTAGTGTGGGAATAAACTAAGCCTCCGCAATGGTGTCATTATCAATAATAGTAACAGCATTGGTAGTCATTGGTTGGCTTTAAAAATAACCCCCTTCCCTGTCAGCTTTGGTGGCCAATCTCTTTCTTCCCCTTAGCATGTAGAGGCACTGGATTTTCTTTCTGTATCCCTTCAACCTAAGAAACCCCCAATATTCTCTCAGTATATGAAGAAAGGGACGAGCGCTGGATATGATGGGATTCAAGCTGCTAGCATATAGGTAAACCTTGTATACCCCCTTCATCAAAAGTCAAATACAAAAAAATGCAGCGCTTGAGTGTATAATACAGGGAATTCGCATGAAATAGTATTAAATGTTCATATTTCAACATGCACCAGATTCCACATTCTTAAAAATTACTCATTTAAAACAATCATCAAAAGTAATGCAGATTTATGACTAATCAAGGGTGCATATAGTGATGGTGATGCTATTCATAAGTTCTGTGATGTATCCAAAGAAATCCGTGACTTCCAATTTAGAACAGATAGGAATAACTGTATAATGCTCTAACTAACCAGATAGCGCAAGTACATGCGCATTGGAGTATAATGACCTGTCAGCCAGATGGTCCTCAGCGTGAAGCCCTCAGGACACCAGTGCACCACTCTTGCCGTCTCCTACCACCAGGGGGGGTGCGCCTCTTTACAGTAACACGAAATCACTGGTTCATATCCTCTATCACCAGGGTTGGTGTACTCTCTTATCAGGAGATCATCTCCTGCTCAGCTTTAAGACCAATTCTTTTCCTTCCCCATAGCATGTCAGATCCCACATCCTGCTGCAGGTAATCCCTTCAACCTATGAAACCCCCAATATTCTTAGTACCTCTCATGTGTGTTGAAGCATCCCAATCTCTGCTCAATTCAACCTCAAAAGCAAGTAGAAGCCCCTGATCTCCCCTCTCTGTACCTCTCTAGCCTAAGGGAGTCTCCTCTTTGCATTCCTCCTGCCTGTAGATTATTTGGATCTCATCTTGGTAAATGCCAATCCCCCTAGAAGCCCTGGGCCGTCTCTCTGTAGAAGCCCTACTCTTGTCTCTGAACTCCCCCAAATTCCTTGACTCCCTCATGGCAGCCTGTCAGCAATCCCCAGGCTTTCCTTCATAGAACAAGAGGAGGTGCAGCATGCAGGGCTCTGATGGACATGTCAGGCATTGTGTGGGGGCACCTCTGTATACTAAGCTTGCTTTGGCCATTGCTATCTTTTTTCTGGCCTGAGCTCTAGCACTGTCCTCTTGCCTAACACACACATTCCTCACATGTCAGAGGCCTGTCCATTGGCTATTGTACTAGTCCCCTCAGCGCACATTCCTAGACTTTCTCGGTTGCACACACACTGTTGCTACCCAATCTGAGGAAACTGGCACGTCATATCATGTTGTTGGTAAAAGACTCCATGTTCTTCAAAGATTATACAGACAGGTGAATTGATTCTGATCTTAAATAAGATCTTTGCTGTGGCAGGAATGGCCCACAGACCATTAGTGGCCTTCACATCCCTGGTTAGAAGTTAACTCTTCGACGAGGGGAAGACAGGAATTCTGTCATCATAGCAGTGGAAAATCTAAAGCTGTCATCTGATTTCCTTTCTGAGGTGGCTGCTGATCAATGTAGTTTAACTGCCAGACTCATTAACCAGTCCATCATGGCCAAAAAGGTGTGAGACTTGGTCACACAAAATAGTGACCGGCATATGCAGCGTCCAAACAAGCTTTAATCTCTATCCCCTTTTTGATAAAAAATGCCTTCCACAATTCCATCAGTTTCCTTGGCCACAAAACATTGTTGAGCTTTCAATTTCAACCTGTTACTGCAATAGGACTGCCAAGACCTCAGAGAATTCTTCTTCCAAATCTGATCAGGAAATCTTTGACTTGGATGATAGATCAGAAATTGTCTTGGACAGGCCCTTGAATCCTAACAGAGAGATCTAAAATACTACAGATGCCAGCCCTAAGGGTTTGGGGGCTCATCTGAATGCCCAAGGTTACTGCAATCCAATTGGTTTCAATGCAACCAATTGGACCTGAAAGCAGTGTGCTCAAGTTGCTCAGACAAAGGTTGCTAGGTCTGCACGTGAAATATTTGCGGAACCCATGAGTGAAAGTCCTTTTAGGCAACAAGACAAAAGTAGCATATCTGATCAAACAAGGTGGTAGGAGGAGCCTACGACATCACAGATTTTTCGTTGCGTGGAGAAATACACTAAATTGCCAATACTTCATGTATACATGGTTACATGAAGTACCGGTACATATTGTTGTTTATATTAGAATGCAGTTACTATATAAAATTTTCAGTTGTATGATCTCGATGTTTAGTGTAGGTGGCTGATCAGATATATCCACAGGAAATATGTTGCTAGTTCTGTCTAATGCATTAGCAACCCAATTAAACTGAATTTGATGCAAAAGGAAAAAAAAAAAAAAAAAAAAACCCACTAAATTGCCAA